CTATGGCTGACTCCTCTTGAGTTTCTGAAGCTGCAAAAGACACAGGAAAAGATTAGCCATCTTTCTCCCTCAGAGCCGCTGGTGAACTTGACCCTCCCACGGGGCACAGCCTGTGGATCAGCAGCAAAACTCTCTACGTACTATATAGACCATGAGAGCGCTCTATTTTTTTCCCCTGCACACCTAGTAGTATGACTTCTGGTAGCTTCAGCTTTATGATGTTATAAGGTTGTTACAAGAATTCATTATAAATAAATCAAAGTATTATTAATTAAATTACTTGAAGCAAAGTATTATAACAGAATGTGCAGAGACTTGGAATTGGAGAATAAAAAGAGAAGAACTTGCTCTGCATTGCTCAAGCTCAAAGAATTAAAAAGTAAATTCAAGCTTCAAGTGCCAATAATAAAAGATAGTATAAGCAGAATATTGAGTGATCCAGGAAGCCTCAAAAGAAGATGGAGGGAACACACAAAACCATTTTACCAAAAGCAGTTGGTCAACACTGAAATATTCCAGGGAGTACCATATAAGCAAGAGCTTATATTTATTTAAGGAAGAAGCTTAAGCTGAACTGAAGGCACTGACAAAAACAAACCAATTGGCATGTTTCAAATGACAAATAAAGCCCTGGATGCCCTAACCAGTCTATGACAGAATAGTGGGAGGACAGCTAATTGGTCAACTGAATAAAAGAGATCAATATCTGTTCCCAATCTCAAGAAAAGTGATCCAGTAGAATGTGTAAATTATCAAACAATATCATTATTACCATATGTAAGCAAAACATTGCTGAAAATCATAAAAAATTGATGCAATCATACACTGACAGGGAGCTCCAGAAGTTCAAGCTGGGTTTAGAAGAAGCTGTGCACCAGGAATATCATCACTGATGTCAGACGGATCCTAACTGAATGCAAAGAATACCAGAAAAAAAAATGCCTATTTGTGTTTATTGTCTGAAAAGGCATTTGACTGTATAGTTCATAATAAATTATGGCTAACATTGAGAAGAATGAGAATCCCAGAGCACTTAATTATGCTCATACAAAATCTATGCCTAAACCAAGAGACTGCTGTCTGAATACAGTAAGGGAACAATGCATGGTTTAAATTCAAGAAACGTATGTGTCAGGGTTGTATCTTTTCTTCATACCTATTTAATCTGTATACTAAGCAAATCATACAAGAAGCTAATCTCTTTGAAGAAGAATGTGGTATCAGGATCAGAGGAAGATTCATCAATAATCTGTGTTATGCAGATGACACAACGTTACTTGCTGAAAGTAAGGAGGACTTGAGATGCTTGCTGAATAAGATCAAATAATACAGCCTTCAACATGGATTGCATCTCTATGTCAAGAAAGCAAAAATTCTCACCACTAGACCGATAAACAATATCATGATAGATGATAAGAAAGATTTAAATTTTCAACAACTTACTTCATCTTACTTGGATCTACAGTTAACACCCTTGGTACCAAAAGTCAGGAGACTAGAAGACACATTGGTAAAGTCTGCAGTCAGGACCTCCACAAATTACTGAAGAGCAATGATAACAGTTTGAAGACTGAAGAGTGCCTGATTCAGGCCACGGTCTTTTCAATCATTTGCTATGCATCTGAAAACTGAAAATGAATAAAGATGAAAAAAGGAGAATGATGTCTCTGAACTGTGGTCTTGGAGAAGAGTACTTAATATATCTTCTTGTTATTGTTGTTATGTGCCATCAAGTTGCTTGTGACTCACAGTGACCCTATGGACAACAGCTCTGAATCTTGCTTTATCCTGAGCCAACCTCATCGTCTCTGACACACTTAACTCAATTACCCTAGTCACTGAGTCAATCCATCTCATTGAGGGTCATCCTCTCTTGTTCTGTCCGTTCACCTTCCCAAGCATAATATCCCTCTACAAGGACTGGTTCCTCCTTGCAATATACCCAAAGTATGTCAGAAGAAACTTCAGAATCCTTGTCTCCAAGGAGCAGCTTCATTTCACCCTCTCTAGGATGAACCTGTTTGTTCTCCTAGCAATACTGCTATGGGCAAGTCTGCCACCAGGGAGGCCCCACACTACAGAAGAGCAATGATGTCTGACTGAAGTCTAACATGTGCCTGATTCAAGCCAGGGTCTTTTCAATTACTTGCTATGTGTCTGAAAGCTAGACAAAGAATAAGGATGAAAGAAGGAGACTTGACATCTTTGAGTTGCAGGTCTGGAGAAGAGTGCTGAATATCCCATGAACTGTCAAAAGAACAAACAGATATGTCCTAGATAAGGTGCAACCAGAGTATTCCATTGAGGCGATGGTGAAGCTTTGTCTTTCATACTTTGGAAATGTTGCCAGAAAAGGTTATTCCTTGGAAAGAGATAAAATGGATTGACATGGTTAGTGTAGCAATGGGTTCAAGTGTATCAAAGATGCTGATGATAGCAAAGAATAGGACAGGATTCAGATCTGTTGTTCATAGGATCACTATGAGTCGTACTCAACTTGATAGCACCTAACAAAAATAACATCATGGGTCCAGGTCATTTTGTACATCTGGTCAAGAGTGGAAAGTCGG